GGGTGTGTTCCTTTCGGTGAATCCAAAAACGGATTTTAGATCTAAGAACGGATTTCACGTTCCTTTCGGCAAATCCAAATCCGGATTTTTGATCTGGTGAATCCTTTTTGAAAAAGGATTCATTGGATTTGAAATCCGAAGAATCCAAATCCAGATTAACGGATTAGTGATCTACGCTGTTCCATTCACAGTGGATCCGAAATTAGTCAGATGATCCAGCGGTATTTCCAGTTGAAGTATTCCCATAGAGGCCGTAGAGTTTCCTCGTTGCTGTCATTTGCCGCAAAACATCTGAAAACATTAGAAGATTGTTCCTGGTACTTTAAAATATCCATATACTAACCATTTGTCTCTAAAGATTGCTTGAAATCAGAAATAAGTAGTAACAAATGAACTGCTATCTAACTACAAACTCGCTTGTAGATGCGACAGGCACTCGATCGTGTTACATAAAAAAATAGCTAAAAAATCCGAGCTACGGAACTGGATCAAACTGGCCGACATTCTTTAGATAATTTTCAATTTTAATGTGCTTCTTTCTTTGTCTGTTTTGTATGTTCCATCGTCGCTATTCGAACTGCCGACCGCTAAATTCTGCACGGTATAATCGCATAATTTGTCAAACAGTAGAAAACACGTCATTTTTGAGAGGCTGTCGTGCATAATTGCACGCGTTGGCGAAAGGTTACCAAGGTTACAAATCCAATTTCGGATTTCACGTTCCTTTCGACCGCGAAATCTGGTAAATCTAGGATCAAAAATCCGTTTTTGGATTCGCCGAAAGGAACACACCCTGAATCGACCGGCCGTTAATGCCGTCCAGTGACGTCACTCACTACCCGAAAACCGGGTAGTGATTGTCTAAACATTCGCATAATTATGTATAATTATGAAACATTAATTTTTCGCGGGATTGTCGCTTGATATTCAGCGGATCGCATCCCCGGCATTCTTTCGTTTAGTTCAAACATTTCGATAAGCTTAATCTTTATCTTAAACAGCAAAATTGCCCTTGTCTTCGAAACTGAAATGCTAAATTGAACTGCGAATGAAGAGTCATCGCGGAGGGTCGGTAGGTTTTGATTTAGAGCCGCTTTGTGGTTTCGGCGGCCGGTGATTTTACGCGAAGTTTTCTGGGATCAATGTTTTAATTCAACCTTCTTGCTATTTTTACCGTCAAGTGTAATGATTCTGTTAGCTTTTCTTTCTTGTCTTCTTGTTTTTTTTTCTTCGTTAATTAAAGCAAATCATTGTGTTTTTGAACTAAGTGTTCCGTGTGTGTGTCTATTTCATTTGCGTGATTGCGACCGAATTTGATTATAGAATTTAGTACAACCGGTTCAACGTTGTACTGCATGCAGTTGATAGTTTGAACGTTACACATAAATTACAATCGAAAAAAATAAAGCAGTTCTGTATCATGCAGACATTTCCAAACGATATTTCTCGGTTGTCCACTTGAAAATCGTGTTTTACTTTTTGCATGAATTAAAGCAAACGTCAAGGAGTAGAAACGGTTGCAAATGGCAGACTCCATGTCCTATACTTTCCAGCAAGATGACGAATCACTCTCAGATGACGATTATGTAGTTGGCACATTCGGAAGTGACAGTGAGTAAGAACGGTAAAGTAAAGAAAATGATATTTGTTATTACCATTTGGGTATTATGTAAGAAAGGGGGGCCCTTAAATCTTTTAACATGATTGAAGGCGGGGTACCTAAAAAACATGGGTGCTATTGAGTAGGGGTCTGGAAATAATTCGGGATAAAAAACAATTTCTCCTCCACCCCCACCCCCCCCCCCTCCAACTTAAATTATGACCGGTCCCTTAGGATTCCTTTGGCTTGTGTTCGCCTCGCGTTTTATAAAAGCGAAACTGACAATATTTAGCGATCTTCACTAAAAAAAAAATGGTCAATAAAAGATTTCTTACATGGCCAATACAATTTATTGTTTTTATTGTTATTCTTATCTTTGCGGAACAATTAAACTTATTGAAACTTGTACCCTTCGCCAGTTGTTTCTCGCGGTAACCAGTCATCTCGCCACCAAACAATCCCGCCACCAAAGTAGTTGCCACCAAGAAGTCGACTCGCCTCCAACCAACTCAAAAACGCTTGGCGAAGAAGTAAAAATCCCAAATTTAAGGTAAGCAATCCCAGGTTCGATTAATGCGAAGTTATTTCTTGGTGGCGATTGGACTTCTAGGTGGCGAGTTGGTTGACGGCGATTTCGTTGGTGGCGAGATAGTTTGGTGGCGTGATGATGGTTTCATCGAAGGGGGCGGCACTACAATCGTTCTCTCTTCTTAGGATCAAGATAAAATGGGGATTTCGGATTTATATAATATTTCAAGACAGAGTTCCTGGATTATAGAGGAACCTGGGAGTGGCATTCGGGATTGTCATTATGAATGGGATACGGAAGTTCGGGAAATGTTTGTACAATGAACCCATATCCGGTGAGAAAAGTAAACTCCTTTTATTTCGATTTCATGAGATGCGCCACTTTCCCTTATCTTTCACATGGCTTCCGAAGGATTTTGAATTAAATTCATGTTCGGAATCACGACAAGCCGATAAACCGTCAATCGGGATTACGGGACTGAGAGACTTATCTCTAGGAAGTAATGTATTGCTGAATCATGCCGATGAAAAAATTTCAACATCAAATTTGGGCTGGATTCTAACAACAATTAATAGAAAAAGAAATGCCATCAGCTGAACATTAAAAAAAGAATGTTTAGCCACATTTGATCACGAATTTCACGAATTTCTCTCCGTCCTTTGAAATTAGAAACCAACGCGAGGGATGAATGAATCACATTAAACTTTGTGAAGTTTCAACTTGACAGGAAAATTGAAGTATTGCAAAAAAGAGGTTTTTAGACAGGTGCAATATCGAACAATGATGACGGATAAAACCAAGCAACATAATCATCTTTACCTCTGTAAATAAGCCTACGAAAATCGTTATATATATACCAGGAATATTCAAAGCGAAAGAAGGGGAGGAAAGCTTTTTGTCGTGATCTTCCGTGAGATCCTGACACAGGATGTTCAATGGATGTTTTTTTCCCTGTCTGTTCGTTGCGGACGAACATACGCATATTCTGCTAAATAAATCATCCGATTGGCCAATCACAGGGCCGATATCATGATACGTCAGAATGTTTTTTCAGGTCCAGTGACAGCCTCAGAGGGGTTTATTATCTTCCGCCATCTTTTTAACTCGCTTGCCCAAAAGCTACTACCGTTTATCTTCGCTTAATTCTCTCTCTGCTCCCAATTTCGAAATAAAAAGGCTGTGAAAATTCAAATGGAGGACATACCGAGGATTTTAGTGTATTTTGGATGAAGGACTGACCGAACTGGACATTCAATGTTCACGTTTATAGAGGTGAAAACGATGCCCGTACAGCAAATTGTCGTAAACCCAGTCACTTTACAACAGACTAATAACAAGGAAAGAAAGGTGAGTTTTTCTTTAAGGATTGCTTTCTTAAGCACTCTTTGATATCATAATTTAGCTCACCTCACCTACATTCGGCCCGTGAAACTCGCAGCGGACTTCTCGCACCTTTTCGATTTGTTTATCTTTGATGGAACGATCGAATTCTCGAAACATGGCGTCTGCGAAGTATACAGCAGAAGGCATCCCGCCTTATGTTCTAAAAACAAGAAATCTGTAACGATCACTGGATTTTTTCCGTATTTGCGGACGGTCTCTCGTCGAACTTGGTTATTACTCTCACAGCAAGCTTTGTAGCGTAAATTGATTGAGGTTAACTAGCGTTTCTTGCTTCGCTTCGACTTTTTTGAAACGCACTTACCTTGCTTTTTTTTATGTGGCAAATCTGGGTGAATAGAGATGATTGTAGTCTCTTTACTTTGGCCGCGTTGTTCTGTTATTTTTTTAAAGGAGGCGCTCAGTCTGGTTCTTGATCCGACCGCCTCGGATTCTTCACTGAATTTTAGCAGTTTCCGGGCGCCAATTGAGAACTCTAGGCGATTTTATTTTTATACGTTGGAAATCTCAGAGAGGGGCTTATTGACCAGCATAATTCATTTTTGAAGCTTTAAATTACATAACAAAAATTTAACTCTCAAGCTAATATTACAAGCGGCGTAAAATTGTCTCTCGTAGCTTGCCGTCTAAGCTTCCCGTGCTCAACTTGTAACTTAAGTATACATCACTTTGTCATGGTCATGTTTTACGCGTTTACTTCTTAATAATTCCTGTTTCTGATGTAGGGTATCGTTATTAACCCCAGAGACAGGAAGTTGTTGCAAAATGTTCAGTTTTTAGTTTTATATTCTGTAAACCACGCGGAAATGTACAGTATGAAAGTGTTCAGAGAGGTGTCTAAGGTTATCTCTGTGTGGTTCACAGTGATAGTGTTTTTAATTTTATGGAGGTCACACATTTTAAATAAACTTCCACACAAAACACATAATTTTTGTTTCTGATTTGTAGTGCACTCTGTTATTACAATATGCTTGTTGAAGAAAATATAAAAAATATGTCAGGTTCTAAATTAATTAGTTTGACTGGTAGCAATTAAATGCTTTTAGACTGTTTTGGTTTCTGTCTGCAGTCGTAACATCTTTTGATCCATTGCTCAAAGTATAAAGTTCAAGTTATTTTTGCTTTCTGTTCATTTATGAATGCACAATATTGTCTTGACTCTATGCAGAAAGTCAAGATGCATGCACTGAAAATTCTGTTCTTTTTTTAAATGTAAATTTGACACTGCACTTCATTTCTCCGAGTCAGTTTTAAAAATAGATGGGAATGTCTGTCTGGGGCAAATTCATTTGTGAAAATTATGCAGAAATTTTTGCTTGAAACAGGTTGTGATTGGGCAGAAACCTGTAACATGAGCATGGTTACAATAATGCTTCTGAATATCTTTAAAGGTGCTATAGTGGTGAGTGACAATAGCACAATGTATGATTTTGTTGGTAGACTTAAATGGCTGCAATAATAACTTTAAACTATAATAATTTGTTGAACAAAACTTAACTTTAATGTGAGGCATGACAATTTTTCTTTTTTTTCGTCATTAAAACTGAAAAATGATAGCCTGAAGGGCGAAACATGAAAGATTTTTCACTGTGATTACATAATGTCCCTTGAAAGTGCTAACTCAAAGCAATCAACTTTTGATAAAGCAGGGTTGTCAAAAGTAGCCGGCTGCCGGCGAAAATCGCCTCCTACTTGGTTAGTATTGGCCGGCTACTCTGCTTGGCATTTCTTTACAGATGGCGTTTTTTAAATAAAATACCCCTGGACTGGCCGCTTACTTTGACAACTCAGCCGTCTACTTCAAAACTTTTTGACAACCCTGCGGAATACTATTTAGGTACTATTTTCAAGGGTTTTGTTGATAACCCAGAGGTGGTGAGTGGAATGACTCATTGGGCCGTTGTGTTTTCATCCCATTTCGCTTGATGACCAAGCAAAGTTTGTTGGCATTTCTATGTCAAGCACCATAAGAGGCTTGGTCTCAACTTTGGATAACTTTTATATATATTTTTTATTTGTCATAGCGGAGCTCTTGCGTGCACAAAGCACGTGCAGCGGAGCACCATGTGTAAGAAAATTTGGTTATGTATGCATTCAAGAAATTTTGGTTCGGACAAAATTGGCCGTATGTGTGTCCACCCCTTCACGTAAGCCAGGGTGAAACTTTGCATCTCAAGCACCAGTGCTTTTCGTTGGTAAATCGCATAACCTCCTGAACTTTTAGAGATAAAAAACAACAACAACAAAGCCAACTTTTTTCTTTTGACTTAATTTTAATCTCTACATTGACGTGGATAACAGAGAAAGAGCTAGAGCGAGAGATACAAAACAAAGGAGACCAATTTTGTTGGAAGAAAAACCTGAAAATTTTATAGCTGTGGTGAGAAAATGAGAAATGCTAGCCGCCACCAAGGTGAAAATGAGCGGCAGTGAAAAAAAGTGAACAGGGACACATACAACATTTCCTCCATAAAACGTGTAACAAGGAAGTTTCTGAAAGTTTCAGGTTGTAGTTGTGCATAGCAATGGAAAAGAAATGTATAAAAAAAAGTGTGGTGCATGTGCAAAGTTGTTTTTTGCTAATTAGACCCACTGATTTTTTTTGGCCCTTTTCGTTGCTGTTGCCACGTTACTACTATTACACGATTTTGTATTTTGTTTGAGCAAACAAGCTTTGCTTTTAGCCTTGGCTAAATCTCTCTTAATAGTTGTTATCATAGGTGATTCTGACTCCACTTATACAAGACATTCAATGTTGAAGGTTTGATCAGGATACGTCAGTTGGTCATCTGAGGCTGATGTACTGTATCCTAGTTAAGTTACATCAATGTTATGCTTCCAGCATAAAAACTATTACATGTTCTAGGCATGAACGTTTGCCACGCCAGATATGAAAAAGCACTTAAAAACCACCCTTGAGAAGGGGCCAAAAAATGTGTGGAAACATGTTCCCCTACTAATGCAGTGGTATGAAAACGCAGGGAAAGGGTTTAAGCGCAAGGCATAGAATGGTGATTACCTTGTTACACAGACCAATCCAAAAAGAGGCAATAAATTCAAAAGAATGCAGGTCCAAATAGCTAAATACATATTAAGCTATATAGTGAAATAAGGTGATTCCAAAAACTTAACACTTAAGGATATAAACTATCAGAAAAGGAACTTTGCAAAGCAAACATGATGACTGAGCTGTGGTAGAATGCCACAAATCCCGCGCCTTATTCATTCCCATGTCTCTCAATCGTCAGAATAAAATTACATTTTTTTGTCTTTTAAAAAACTAAAACAAAGTTTACTGTTAACATATGTGGATAAGCCACATCCCCAACTTTCTAAATTGATTTTGGAAAAAAAACTAGTGAAGTTTGCCAATTTTCAGTTCAGTTTTTGCTGCATATTTGCTGTGAGTTTTAATGCTAATCAGCATTTCAGTTTGATAACAAATTGTCCATATTAAGCTTGGATTATGCCCAAATATACGATTTTAAGAACAATATTGTGTGAAACTGGCCATCACATATTGTCATATAATACTGCTGTGCTGGCTGACTAGTGACAGCTTGATTTAAAAGCAGCATTTAGTTTTGGTAATAAAATGTCATGCCTTGTAATCCAACAGCTGTACTTTTGTTGGATTGGCCTAAATTTGAATCAAGTCTGGCATCTAAACCAGGCCTAAATGCACATTTACATTGAAGTGATTAAAAAAAATACAAAAGAAGGAAAAAGGGAAAGGGGTAAATGATTACATAATCTAGATAAATTAATATAAAACTATGTTTATTGAAGGAACAGAAAGCACAGGAGGGATTTCTCTTGCTTATTTATGGTCTGGATTCTGTTTGGTATCTGAGATTGATTTTATTTACAAAATCTGGGAAGAGTAGAGACTTTCTTCACTTAATTTGAATTTGAATATGAATTTAAAAAAAATAAAAAATAAGCAAAACAAACAAATACATGGGAGGATAAATTGAATGTCGATTAGCCCAACAAATAAATACTCTCAGACTGTCAATATAATATCGCATGTACATTGCACTACTTCCAGAATTCCAAACCAAAGCTATCAGACGGGCCAGCCGTAATACCAATAACGGAGAGCAGCAACGATAAACCCAAGTCACTAGCCAAGAAAAGTGTGTCAATGACCTCTGTGGCGTCATCCATGGAAATCTGTAGGATATGTCATTGTGAGGCAGAGCCTGACCAGCCTCTTATTTCTCCTTGCTTATGCTCAGGCTCTTTGCAGTATGTTCATCAGAGTTGTCTACAGAGGTGGATTAAAAGTTCAGACACAAAAAAATGTGAACTGTGTAAATATGAGTTTATCATGGAATCTAAGATGAAGCCTATCACAAAAGTAAGTAAGATCTTTTCTAAATGTTTACCATGGGAGTAGGAGAAAAAATGGTTTTTAATGGCAGGGAAAAGTCAGTAAATTCCAAAAAATTTGAGAGATATATATTTTTTTGGCCTAGCTAGAAACGCTAGGTCATATTGTTTTCCTCAAAGGCTATACATGTAAAAAGATATCATCATTGTAAAAACATTCTGTATGTTATTATTACTATTATTGCACAGTTATAATCATAACTATAACAAAATTCTCAAATCTGATTGGTTATCAACTGCCCTGATTTCAGCCTTAATAGGACAATTTAATAGGACAGTAGGCGTCATGCCTAAGTAATTGGACAGTACGCGCCATCACGCGCGCTCTTAAATGGCTTCTTTTTTTTTCATTGCTAGCACAAAAATCTTGGAATTTCTTGTGTTTTGATTTTAAAAAGCGCCTTATATATCACAAATTTTGTTAAAGTTATGATTAATTGGTAACAGGACTTCGTATCGTCCAATTTGGTCTGTAATCATACTCGTGATTAAACAAATCGGACTCCCGCTACGCTGTCGTCCCATTTTGTTATCACTCATATAATTACAGACCGAATTGGACTCCACTCAGTCCTGTTACCATTACTTATTGTTGTTGTTATTATTATTATTATTATTATTATTATTATTATTTTTACATAATGTATTATTTTGATACTCTGACTCCTTAACTGAAGTCCAGATTTGGCTCCCCACCCCTTCCCCCTCCCCCCCCCCCCCCCCCCACCCTTCCCCCTCACCATACGTATCGTAATACACCTATGCATCTACTATATGTAATCATACAATCTCTTTATGTATATAGGATTCTTATCCTCTAAGATTGTACCTATATTAACCAATGTTTCAGGATTTTTGTTCACCCTTATGGGTGCAAACACCAGTGGAGCGTAGACTTTTTGGACAGGCATATTCTTTTGCATTTTCCATAAACTCTTCATACTTATCACCAAAATCTAATGTTTTTTTTTTCTTTTTTCAGTGGAAGGCTTTGGACATGACAAGAAGTGAAAGGCGCAAGATCCTGTGTTCAGTGTCATTCCATGTGATTGCCATCACATGTGTTGTGTGGTCATTGTGGGTACTGATTGAGCGTACTGCAGAGGAAATTAAGCAAGGCCAGCTAAATTGGCCTTTCTGGACCAAACTAGTGGTCGTAGCTATTGGATTCACAGGTGGCTTGGTGTTCATGTATGTGCAGTGTAAAGTTTATGTGCAGCTGTGGAAACGTCTCAAGGCATTTAACCGTATTATCTTAGTAAAAGATGTGCCTCCGCCGCAAGAAGGTGCTGAGTATATCTGATCGTGTCCCCTCATCACTGTAAGTAGACATTTGAGTACTGGGAAAATCTAGCTCAGAGCTGAAGCTCTCTGTGCTTTTTCTCAGCACCACTTTGGTGAAGAAGGGGTCCTCAATTTCACCTTTTTAAGTACAAATGATGAAAGCTGCTTCAAGAAGCTTGTTCATAGAACTCTGATGTATTAGTGTGTATGAAGAACACAGTATCCCCTCATTTTAACTTTCAAAGTCCTTAGTTTACCCATAAAGATCAAAGTAAAAAGTAACTGTTAAATTTCAGTTTGTAAAATACAGAAAAATGACTTTTAGTGCCATGCAAACCATATACAGAGCCAGAGAGGTTTCGATTAAAATACATGTATGTGCAGTAATATCACATTACTTCATTCATTCGTGTTGTCATTTCTACAATGTCGCTCCATACTGTGTGTATCTATCTGTGTGATTGGACTCACTTGGTTTGAATCTTCAGTAAGGAGCATTGGTTGAATAAGTGGATGCCTATCATGGCTACTTACACTGGTGTGAAATGCTGCATTTAAGTAGCTTATACCGTGTTTACACTTGAGCATTTTACAGTGCTAACAAAGTTTATCTAGGTAAACGTTTTGTGAGTATAAACATCAACTGTTATCTCAGTAAATGTATCAGTGACAACAGTTTTTACCAAGGTACATGTATAGTAATGGTTTTTATCTAGGCAATGATGAGGCAGGGTTTACATGTACACCATATGTGTTGCTTGGTTACTGAAGTGAGAATTACAGACAATCATGTCCAATGGTTTTCTGATTGATTTATTAAATCACATTTAATGTTTTTAATTGCCCTTGAAGTGAACTGCAACACTGAAATCCTACAATCCTTGCAGTGCACTAAACCTAATGGTTAAGGCAAAAAATGTTTTCCTCGTTGAGTTAATGATGTTTTCCTCTTTACATTTTACTAAATTCATTCTTTGTTGCACTTATCTTGAAATCAGTCCAGAATGATCCTTATTTGTGAACTGGATATCCATGTTAACCAAGACGGCTAGTATTTCTACCTCTAGGACTAGAATAATTCTTGCCCATAATACCAAAACAGATTTTGCTGCTTTTTCTCTAATATTTTTCTGTTTAATTTTGGTGGAGAATATTGACAGATAACGTACATGTAGGTTGTTAGGTCCAGTAAAAAAACACAGTGCTAATAAGTCATGGTAAAGAAACAGCACTTCAGTAAATCAAAACTTTGTTTACAAATGCCTAAGTGTGAACACGGCATAGTTTTTTAAAATAATGATAGCATTCAATTCTTGGCAGTGTCAAGTGGTTGTAGAGGGAAGTTATTGACAAATTATTTTGTAGGCTACCAGAAAGTGTGAACTTCCGGGTAGGAATAAGGTTATCAAAACCATAATTATTAAAGGAAATATTGAAAGAATATCTAGTATGATGAGAAGTTGTACTTTTGCTTTTGAGGTCATGAACAGTCTCATGGACAGTCAAAATTGACTGCTGGAGTTAGGCAATGAAAGAACTTTGTTTTTGAGAAGCATTTTTTGGCGTTTTACAAATACTTTATTTCAAATATATTACGTAAAAAAAATTTTACAGGGTAACAATTAACATCAACTAGAAAACAGTTTTTGACTGAAATACAAGTACTTGAGAACCATGTTGCATGTGTGTCTAACCACCTCAAGGGTAATAATTGCAACTGCCATACATATTTCCAAGAACCGGTCAAGTATAGTTGGTTATGTACACATAGTTGAGAAAGGTGTGAATGTTGAAAAATAATAATCAAATGGATCAAAATAATAATTATTGTAGCACATGTAGCCTTGCCTGCTGGATAGGCCTAACATTACATACACTTCTACTCGTTGCAACAGATGTTGATGATAATTATAGGGCTTCTTATTTTCATCTGTTTCTTGGTGTTTAGAACCTTTGATAAAACACTCGCCCCCCTAAACATATTCTGGCCTAAGAACAAGCTCTCCTGAGCGCTCTGGTGGTGGGACGGGAAAAAGGAAGGAGAGCTTGCAACTGCATCTCTGGAATTTGAATATCTGTATCAAAAAAAAGTTGATGCAAAATGCTGCTTGGCAAAGACGACATTACTAATGATGTCATTACCCTTGGCCCGTGTTTTCCAGTGTTTGTTTACATTTGCGCTGATTGGCGGAAATCTGACAACTCAGTCGACGGGGAGCCACAGGGAAATTGGTGGTGGAGCATCAAATTTCAGAGATGTAGTTGCAATCTCTCCTTCCTTTTCCTGCCCTGCAGGCAGAGCGCTTGGAGAGCTTGGTCGCAGGTTAGACATATTCAAGTTCAACTTTACTGGCATGCCTCTTGTTAGCCTGAGTATCAAGTGTTTCTAGGAAGAAAAGGAGAAGAGAGAAGGGAAAAGGGGAGATGGTCACTCTCTTCTCCTCACCCCCTCTCCTCTCTCCTAACCCCTAAGGAAGGCCTGAAAGTAGGCTGAGCTCTTGTTGTTGCTAGCATACGGTAAATCCTCTATTAAGCCCCCTTCGTCTAATAGGCCCACCTTTTCAGGAGAAGAAGGTTAACTAGCCTCTCCTCTCTATTAAGGTCCCTTACCCCCTCCCCTCGCTATTCTTCGCTGATAAACTTTGATAAACTCACCGCCGTTAAACTTTGTGTGGACTGATCCAGGATGGTTTATTTACCAAATGGTAGTTCAGATTTGTTTCTGATCCTCGGCTGCAAGACCTCCAACCTTCTTGTACTTGAGTTTTTCCACTTTGTATTCTTGGTTTTTATGGACAACTGATACCACGCTCTTTTCTAAATTAAATATGTGCCCCCCCTCTCAAATAAGCCCCCCCTCAATAGGCTTGAAATAAATAAGCCCCCTCCCCCTTCCCCCGGGAGCTTAATAGAGGACTTACAGTATGTTGTCTTCTTTGCCCCTTGTTAGGGAATCCAGGACAGTTTTGAATTCTGGATTCCATGTTGCGGATTTCAGATTCCAGCTACTGGATTCTGAATTCTTTGTCAGTGGAAGTCGAATTCCTGATTCCACTCTTGTGGGATTCCAGATATCCAGATTCCTATAGTTGTATTCCGAATTCCAAGGCCCAGGATTACGGATTTTACAAGCAAAAATTTCTCAAATTCTGGAATCCGGAAAGGAATCCGGATTCCCTAACATAGGGCAAACATTTTGTGAAATGACTGACTCAGGCGATCACTACAATGATTGCATTTAAATCAGGCTAAGCAGGTTCAGGTTCAGGGGTAGGTCTATGCACTCCAAGTTTAATGTGAGCAAAGTTCAACGTGTCGTAAGTTAATGGTACAATTTAGATTTTACTACAATTGATCCTTGTGACATTGTTAGGAGCTTGTGGGACAGTTCTTTGCCTCTCAAGTCAGATAAATACAATTATTCCTGAAAAAAATTATAACGGTAAAATACGAAGATTGACTTTCAAGGAAATTTCCTACATGACGTTTTCAAGGAACTTTGTGAATTATTTATCCTTTAAACCCCAATATCAACATGCATTTCTCCACACTGTTCTTCATACATTTTTTCTTGTACTGCTTAAGAGAATTTGTTCTATCATCAAGACATTTCATGTCTGGTGATCATTTCAAACATTCTCCTGACCTGTCGTATTTTATCAGGCAGTATCACTGTTAGGGGAAATTGGATGTTGGTCACTAGTGATTAAGCAAGTGTTTGACCATGCACTCTACTTTGTAGGTTTGGCGGTTCAATCCTCTCCCTCATGTATCAGGGGCACCCAGCGACGGTTTCCTCCCAAATGATGCATTGAAAACACTGTTTTAGACTATCCAGAATACTTTAAGACCTTTACAAATGCATCCTAATCAGCGCTATAAAATTTGTATCTGTTCGGTCATCCTAGGGGAACTTAAGTGTCAGTATCATTTTCCCGAAAATTTTAGATGCAATTTGGCGCTTTACGAAAGTGAATTTTTTTTATTCCTCTCTCCATCACATTTTTTATTCCAACCATTTTAGGTTTTCTTTTTCCTACGAAAAATAGCCTAACTTGGGGTATGAAATGTGGAAAAATAATCTTCAGAAAATCGTTGGGAATTTATTTATTAGAGAAGCTTCGAAAAATTTACATGAGTGGAACGGTCATACACAAATTTTCAGCTGTCCTCAAGCCATAGATAATTATATTTGCTTTTCCGAACAGCTATTTTTCAGAAAACAATCGTCGGGTGCCCCTGATGTATCCCTATCTTGACTCTGTCGAGCTCGAAACGAATATAGACACCAAATATCAAACAGACTTTTGCTAGGAGACCATAGTGATTGTTGTGGGGGGAAATTCCTTTTTCGGTTCGTTTGCCCCTGCTCTCTCTCTCGGATCTGCCAAAGTCGAAACCCGAGTGACTGATGAGGGACTGTTCGAAGCCTAATCGTGGTTTTATTGTCGTAGTACTACAGTCGACTCACCACCGCGGTCAAACGTCTAAATCGTTATTTTTGTTTTTTATTGCTGGGATTTCCTTTACCAGTTAGAGAAAAATGGGCAAAGATGTATAAATCAGTTAGTCAACGTAACTATCTTTCCATTTTTCTCAAAATTTTGAGCTTTTTTCGCTGAAAACGCTTCGCGCTAAAAGAGAATCATGTTTGAAAATGGCGCCGATAATAACGTCAGCATCGGTTTTCAATCACTTAGAACTTTAAACTTTTAAAAAGTTTAGTGAACTAACAGGACGTTGGTAATACCTTAAACTTGCGATAGTGAAAGTAGCAACCTTAACTTTGAAGTATTTCGCTTAACTTTTGCAAATTTCACTCGTTTGACCGCTGTGTACAGTCGACTCTCTCTGAGATGGACAGCTTTTGGACCTTGTGTCCATCTTAGGGAGATGGATATCTTGAAGAGATTCCATTAAAAGAAATCCAGTAACGAAAGCGGGCAGGGACCAACTCTAGGTGTCTGTTTTAGCGAGGTATTCACTAAGAAAGAATTAACAATTACTGTAGTTAGTGTACTATACCAACTGGGGGCAGTCTTGGTTTTTTCCTCCCTTCGACGTGTCCCTGAAGGGGTGAAACTTGACGTGCCCATAAAATTAAACTTGGTATACGGTATTTTGAAAATAGTTATATTGTAGTGTGTTTAAAGTCCGATAAAATGTTTCGTTGACGTACTAGTCCAGGTTGTAAATATTACATTTGTGCAAGTTATTTTTGTATGTTGTGGTAAAATTTATTCCAGTCGTAGTTAACTAAATAGACTGAAGGTCAGTAAGACGGATGTAATATAAAATCATGAAGAAATATATCAGCTGTTGCTTCTGATGACGTCCACCATTCTTAACTTCCTAACTTTTCTTAACGTCGAACTTTTCATGAGACGAACCAAAGTTAGTGAGTAAACTTCATGAAAAGTTGGACGTCTGGTTCAGTTAAGTTCATCTGAACGAGATTGGATCGTCCAACACGTTCTATCCGTCTGCTTCAGACGTCGGCGTGCTAAGTTCGTCGTTTTTTGACCCAACAGACGGTCTTAACTTAATTTAGGTCGACCCAAATTAGAGTTTCCACGTTAAGCCTAGGCGTAAAAGAACAAATTTGCGCGTGTTGGACTCAACAAAATTTTATGCGGGAATGCTTCGCTCCCTGGTCCAACCCCTAACCCTTTTAAATACGTTCTATTGACCAATGGTACCCCCTTCACATACCTTGTTTAGAACTTTGTATCTCTTTTAACTGCTGTAATGGGGTGCAGGGCCGTAGCCAGGAAGAAACTACAACCGAGGCGAACACACGGTCCGTTGTACGAAATCAGCCGTATGAAATCTTCTAATATTATCAGTCTGATAAAAAAAATAAAAATCGACAGTATTTGGTAAAATTTTACCGAGGCGAGTGCCTCGGTTCGCCTCATACTGGCTACGGCGGTGGGGTGGTAGCTTTGACGGTTGACGGTTTAATTTTTTCAATTTTGACGACTGACGGTCAAATTTCGTAGCTTACAGTTGACGGTTATTAGGTGGAAATTTAGTCCAAAACTTACAGTAAATATTAACTTCTGTATGAATTTCGAAGTATGTTGAGATACAAGTAGGTTTTTTTAAGGTCTTGCAATGTCTAGAAAGAGTGTTTTTGAGAACATGAACCTAGGAGCTAGGACCCGGGTAGATACGCTGAAATAGTGAGATTTGAAATACCTTGAAACATTTTGACGGTTAATCTTAATCTCTATTTTCGACGGTTGACGGGGAAAAAAATAACCTTTTTTGACGGTTGACGCCTAATTTTTAGGCCGTTTGATGGCGACGGTTGAGACCCTCTTAAAGATATGAATAAATCTCAAACCAGAACGTCTCTCAAGTTTTTTACAGCCATAAAATGTCTCTGTTAGTTTTTTTGCGCCTTTTTACAGACCAAAGTGATAGAATTTTCTACCCTTTCATATACTTCAACTAGTGAAATCCCTACCCGCTTTCATCATATACTTGAAGCTTAAGAAAGGTACCCCTTTAGGGCGTAGAACATTTAAATGATGTAAATGTTTGTAAAGAAATCTTTCCTTACTCTGTGTCATTTCAAATTTTATGTTCATCTGCCACCGCCTCAGACGAATAAACCCGAGTATGTCTGCAATAACACTAGAGTTTATGATCCGCCATGTGTTCATGCGCCCAACGGGTGGTGTTTTTGGTTATTTCCCGGTCACACACGCCCTCATCAAAGAAATTTTTTTTGTCCCTCCCCCCGGGGTTGAGAACTCGAAGAGGAAGCAACGTTAGTAATGTTAAATTTAATTGAACCATGATAGATTTTATTTCGTCGTTCTTAAAAGACAAGTGATGCTTCAGTAGAACGTTGTTTCAAATAATAAAATTTGACTGTTTCTGCAGATCCTATGTTTTCTTGGTAATGATGCTACTCGCTGATTGGTTCATAGTAGCTCCTTGGCCCTTTGTCCGCGGCATAGTTATAAGCGGGCTTATTGTAGTCCCTGCCTTTTCTGATCATTGGTACATACTGCAGCTGAGGGTAGTAGAATGGCGGCTCCTTCTTAATTCTTCCGCGATATCCCGCTGGTTGATACCCGTCATATCCTGGTTGGTAGCTGGCGGGAAGCGACGTTGAAGTCGATACCATCACCAGCACTATGATGACTGTAAATATAATTTGACCTTCGCCATGCAACATCTGCAGATTGTGTATGTCAACATTAAGAAGGGACATATAAATAATTGTAATTACTATACTTAAACCAAATGCTTTAATTCAATCGATTTTCCAAGCCATCAAAATTTATCTGAAAAGTTAATCGGCCGGAATAAAGCCGATTAGTTCCTTCATAG